ACCAATGGAACAGAATAGAGAACCCAGAAATAAATTCACATATTTATGGCCTACTGATTTTCTACAACAGCACTAAGAGTATAAACTGAAGAAAGGACACGCTTTTTAGTAAATGTTGCTGGGGAAACTGGATATTCATATGCAGAAGAATGAAACTATGCAGAAGAATGAAACTGGAGCCCCATCTATCATAATATACAAAAAGTAACTCAAAACGAATGAAATCAAAGACTTAAATGTAAGGCCCCAAATGAAACTACTAAGAGAAAACGTAAGGGAAATGTTCTGAGCAAAGATTTTCTGGATAAGACCTCCAAAACACAGTCAACAAAGGCAAAAATAGACTAATGGGATTACGTCAAACTAAACATTTCTGTGCAGCAAAGGAAACAGTCAGCAGAGTAATGTGACAAACTACAGAATGGGATAAAATCTTTGCAAACCATTTCTCTGACAAGGAATTAATATCTAGAATATACAAGGAACTTAAACAGCAAAACGTCAAATAATCTGATTTTTAAAATTGGCCATTGATCTGAACAGATGTTTCTCAAAAGAAGACATAAAATGGCCACTAAGTATTTGAAACAGTGCTCTGTGTGACTAATGATTAGGGAAATGCAAATCAAAATCAGTGAGAGATTATCTCACGCCAGCTAGAGTGGCTATTATCAAAAAGAGGAAAAAATAGCTAGCAAGAATGCAGATAAAATACAACTTTAAAAAAATTCAGCTTTTACTTTAGACTCAGAGGGTACATGTGCAGGTCTGTTACAAGGGTACGTTGCATGATGATGAGGTTTCAGAGTATGACTGAACCCATCTCCCAGGTAGTGAGCATAGTAGCCAATATGTGGTTTTGCAACCCTTCCTTCCTCCTTCTCTCCCTCCTCTTATACTCCCCAGTGCCTAGCATTGCCATTTTTATGCCCATGTGTACCCAATGTTTAGCTCCCACTTATAAGTGAGAAACTGTAGTATTTGGTTTTCTGTTTCTGTGTTAACTTGCTTAGGATAATGGCTTCCAGCTGCATTCTTGTTGCTGCAAAAGACATGATTTCATTCTTTTTATGACTGCATGGTATTCCATGGTACATACACACCACCACATTTTCTTTATCCAGTCGGCCATTGATGGGCATCTAGGTTGATTCCATGTCTTTGCTATTGTGAATAGTGCTGTAATGAACATATAAGTGCATGTCTTTTTTTTGGTAGAATAATTTATTTTTCTTTGGGTGTATACCCAGTAGTGGGATTGCTGGGTTGAATGGTAGTTCAGATTTTATTAACAGTTCTTTAAGAAATCTCCAAAGTGATTTTCACAGTGGCTGAACTAATTTACATTCCCACCAACAGTGTATAAGCGACAAAGAAAATTCTCACACAGGAAGGAATGTAAATTAGTACAGCTATTATGGAAAGCAGTATGGAAGTTCCTTAACAGGCTAAAAATAGAACTACCATATGATCCAGTAATCTCACTACTGGACCTATATCCAAAGAAAATAAAATCATATGTCAAAGAGATACCTGCACTCCCATCTTTACTGCAGTTTCATTTATAATAATGAAGATATGGAATCCACCTAAGTGTCTATCAACAGATGAAGAGATAAAGAAAATGTGGTATATATAGACAATAGTATGCAGCCATAGAAGAGAATAAAATCCTATCATTGGTGGCAACATGGATGAACCTGGAGGACATTATGTTAAATGATATAAGCCAGGCACAGAAAGACAAGTTTCATATATTCTCACTTACATGTGGGAGCTAAAGAAGCTGATCTCAGAGAAGTAGAGAGTAGAACAGTGGTTACTAGAAGCTGAGAAGGGTAGGGAGATAGAGGTTGATCAATGAATACAAAATTATATATAGATAGGAGAAATAAGTTTTAGTTTTAGTTTTCTATAGCATTGTAGGGTGACTATAGTGAACAATAATTTATTGTATGTTTTTTTTTTTTAAGAAGTACCACTATTTTATGCATTCTATGAAGGTAACAATTATGATAGCACAAATTTAGTGACAACTTGCAGGATAAAAGGAGAAAAAGTACTACTACATTAAATGTACACCAATGTTAAGAGGTATCCTGATTACAATATGAAAATGTGAGAAAAATACACCTCAGAATGAAGGAAATACTACAATTGTTCTTTCAAACCACAATCCTTTTCTTCCCCCTTAGAATGCAGTCCCCTTGTGGCATGAAGTCCAGCTTGAAGAACATCACTTTAACAAACTATAAGACCGATTTCTAAGATGTTCAGTAAAACACTTACAAATAGCAATAAGATATTAAGATTGTATTAAATGCTGTAAATTCGGACACAAACTAAGCCTGTAAGGACTTTTCTATAACCCTTTCCAGCCTCTAAATCATACTCCCTGGAGAATATCACTCACCTTCTAAGTCACGACTATAAACAAGTTTCTTAAGTCAAACAGAAAACAATATTTAAATGGAAAACCTAAGCTGCATCCATTTGCTACCCAAGTTCTTCTGACACGCAGAAATCAATTTGAAAATATTTAAGAAAACGTTAGCTTCAATCAATCCCCTTGTCATCCTTGTTCTTCTGATACATGGATAATTCATTGTATGACCTGCTTTATTTCACTTACTCATTTATAAAATAATACACCCATCCAATGACTATTTCTAGAGCCATATCACGTCAAGCATTGCTTTAGGACAAAGATATAGCAATAGTTAAGGACCTATATGCCCCTGACTACACTAAGGATACCTGTGTCTCTGCTTTCCAGGGTATCACATGATCCAGGTATCTCTCCCTAGTATGGTCAACGAGGAATAAATAAGATGCATTTCTTGGTTAGAACTGTTGAAGCTTACATCTGCCTCTTCCTAACCCCTTCTCAACCAACCCAGCTTAATTCTAGCACAGTATGCAAATCATGCCAAACATGACTCCATGCAGAGAACTATCAAAATGACACCACAGTGTATCAACCTTAACTGATTTTAAGGGTTCTTAGTTTCTAAGATTCTCAAGCAGATCAGCATAATGTCCTAAAGGTAAATAAATCATTCTTGCTACCTAAAGAAAATGTATCCCATATTCAGATTCACAGCACACAGTCTGTATTCTGATAGAAGTAGTTTGAGATAACCACCTACGTGTGGTGGTTCCCAAACTTGGCTACATTTTAGAAAGCCTGGAAAACTTAAAAATCACATTGTTCAAGTGCACTCCAGTAAGCAGCCAAGTTTGAGAACCACTGATGCAGAAACCTTGGGAAAGGAGCTGCTTTCCAATGATCTATGGATTAAAGGTACACTAACATTTCCTTCCACCATGAGCAGTGAGCTTCCTGAACACTGCTTCACTAAGAATTATTATGGACCTACTTGGTATTTAAGGGAAGTGTCAAATGTAGGGGAGAAAGCACAAACCTGAACATATAGAGGGCCAAATATTATCTCAAACTAAATGCCAGAAAATAAAAATAATAAAGCTTTAAAATTTTATCTCAAAGTTTGTTAGAAATTGATGTTATCAAGAGTTAAGTTCCCACTCCTCAGTATCTGAAAAGTAAGAGACAGAGGGAAAATAACAACCCTCAGGCTGGCTTGTGGAGGGTTTTTGTTTGTTTACTACATCTGAAAAGAATGCATATACAAAGAATTGAGACACGAAAAGCATTGGTTCAACACTAATGAATCTACAAGAATTAGGATTGGGAAGGTGGGAAAGATTACCTCAACATTTTTAAAAATTGGAAACTGCAACCAAAATAAGCTGATAAAATCCCTATTAACACTTATTAAGAGTCTTCATTAAGACCCTTTCCATGATTTTTATTCAACTAGAGAGCCTCACCTGGCTGCTGTAGTGTTCCTCATATGCAAAACAGAAATAAGGGGATTCCCCTGACTGGTCCCCATGTTGTTAAGTGTTCTTCCCACCCCCACCCTACCCCCAGCTTCTTAATGAAGCAGGCCTCCATCCTCCTAACTTGAGAAGATGTGAATCATTCCACAGATGTCTGTCTTCTAGCACCACCCCTCGTATTTCCTCTACATACCAGGTCTTCAGCTGCATTCTAGGAACACCATATACTACTGAGCTGCAAATCTATGCTAAGCATATAAGATAATGACTGAGAGGGAAAAATTTTTTTTTAATTACAAACTCAATTCATTTGGTGCATTTCAAAGGTGCAATACTTTTCTTCATTTATCAGTGAAAGAAGTTAGAAATCAACTTCCCCAAAAAAACAGTGAATGGCAAACAAATGTCCTTGAAAGTCACAGTCACATATAGTGTGTCCTAGAAAAGAGGAGGGGCAAGACAGGCTCCACCCACTTTCATGAGCTTCATCAAATACTGGATCTACTCAAGGGTGGAGAGAAAAGGCAACTTTCAAAAAAGGAGTATGTTATTAAATGAGGCATTTACTATACTCCTTCCTAAGAGCACCAGATGGAGAACATGTTTTCTAAACTAGATCTAGGAAGTGGAATGTGGAATCAATCCATCCTCCCCTTAAGGGCTATCCACTGGTTAATGAATTAAAAAAACAAGACTAAAAAACAAACCCCACACACACTCCCCCCCCAAAAAAAGGAGAAAAAAACCAAAACAAAACACTAAGATGTGCCAGATGTCTCCAGAGTGGAACCAGGGAGCAGCTTCAACAATTCCAATTAGTCTGTTACAGTCATCCACAAGCATGCCTTGCTTTTAAACAAAAACAAAAACAAAAACAAAAAAAACCTTTTTTTTTTTTTTGAAACAAAACAGAAACTAGTACTAATCACTTTTCTGACAACACACAATTACTCAAAGTTAACTAGTACTGGGAGGGGAAAGGGGGGCCATACCTATGGGCCTTGCGTGTGGGTAGGTGCAGGGCATTTGTCTTTATTGCAAAAAGGAATTTTAATTTTTAATCTTTAGTTTGATTTAAACATTGCTTTTAGTATGATGCCGACACCAGCTGTGCAGAAAGGGCTCTGGAGAGATGGTCATAGCAGCACACACCTGCGGCTCTTCGGTTCTGGAGGCTCCAGGGCAGCCAATATTGCTTCGTCAAATACATTCTTGAGGCCTTTCTGTGTAAGTGCAGAACATGCCACATACTTGACAGCCTTCAGGTCACGGGCCAGCTTTTCAGCAGTCTCTGGAGGGATAGGCTTCTGTTTGTTCTTGGCAAGTTTCTCAATAGTTGAGGGGTCATCTCTGAGATCAATTTGAGTCCCAACAAGCAAGAAAGGAGTCTTTGGACAGTGGTGAGTTATCTCAGGCACCCACTTTTCTTTCACATTTTCAAATGAAGATGGAGAGACCACTGGAAAACAGACTAGAAATAACATCTGTTTGTGGATAACTCAGCGGTCATAATCTGTCATCATCCTCTGGCCCTGCAGTATCAAAAAGCCCAAGAGTATATGGTTCTCCACCAGTCATAACTGTGACAGCATAGTTGTCAAAAACAGTTGGTACATATTCCGATGGAAATTTGTTTGTTGTGTAGGATATCAGGAGACATGTTTTACCAGCAGCACCATCGCCCACAACAACACACTTAATTGTCTGCATTGCTGAAATAGTTTTGTATCCACTTTAAATATTTCAAATCTGATGTTGACCTCAGCTTCTCCACCGGGGCGTATTGTATGTTTTCGAGTACTGAGAGGAGAAAATTTTGTACATTACCAGCACAAAGAAATGATAAACCTTTGAGATAATGGATATGCCAATTACCCAAATTCGATCATTATGCATTGCATGCATGTATTGAAATGTCACCCTTCACCCCATAAATATGTGTAATTACGTATCTTTAAAAGTGATAAGAAAAACTAGTTTTTTTGATGTTATTATTGACTTGTAGGAAGCTTATATGTTCTAAAAACAGGTCCTTTCTCAGATGTGTACTAAAAATATTTTCTTTCATTTTGTGACTTACCTTTCCATTTTCTTTAATGGAAACTTTTAAAAACTCTTAAAAAGCAAAGTTTTAAAAAAAATCTAGTTAAGGTCCAATTTGTTATTTTTTTTCTTATATGGCTTGTGATGCTTATTCTGCCTAGAGTGTTCCTGGGATGTTTGTGGAGTTAAGTCCCTTGCTTGCTTCAATTCTTTACTCAAATATGTCCCCCCTATTTAATGTCAACTGTCCACCATATTTAATGCCACCCTATTTAATACCACTGACACCTCCTCCCCCATCACTCTTGACATTCATTCTAGTCTATTTTACCTTTTTCCCATAGAACTTATAAATTTCTAACATGCTTTATAACTTACATATTAATTATGTTTGTTGTTTATTGTCAGTCTTTGTTCCAGTAAAATGTAAACTCCTATAAGGACAGAGACCTGTGTTTTGTTCACTGTTATACCCTAAGTTCTCATAAGTGGTTCTAGCACCTAGTATGTGCTCAATAAATATTTGCTGGGTTGATGACTTCTAAGCTAATTAATGATTTCTAAGCTTTCCTTCAGCCTGAAGAGTTTTCTGATTTTAAGATTCTACTTAGATAATCCTAATTGTCTCAGTGACGCTCACCAATCACTCACTTCTCCCACAAGGTGGCAGTCTTTACCTTAAACACAAGTTCTGATAGCCTTAAATTTGAGAATTAATAGTTTTTAACCTGCTTGTTTTCTTTGAGCCCAGACAGCCTGCTCTATGGGAATTGACAGCTGTAAAATTCAAAGGATGAATGTAATTACCCTGCAAGATCTGAGTGCTTTTAGGCAAGAGGATTGAGGGTGTGAGAGTTTTCCTGGAGAGGAACACATTATGAAGGTGATGTTTTTTAATTGACAGGGATTTTGAGACATAGTTGCTCTTTGTGAGAATGGTACAGATTTAGAGAGAGGTGCCAGCATAGCACTGTGACACCTGAAGTAGGCTGACAACAGACAAACTGGATGTAACCACCGAATATATCTGTGTTTTCACCGCTTCCTGCCCTGTGCCCTCTTGCCTGACTCACTTTACCCCAGTACTGGGGAATAACTCTGCCCTATTCTGGTCTTGAACCTTTTGTACCATCTAGGGGAATGAGAACTCTTGGAGTCTCAGATCCTCATTTCTGTTAGAACCAATCCTATTCTGCGGGTAGGGCCATGATTGTAAATTTCCTGTGGGAGGCAGCATTGCTTTGCAAAAAGAAAGTTTGGCATGTAAGGCAGCTCTGCCACTTGGACAAGGTAATAAACTTCTCTAGCTTTAGTCTCTTTATTTCGAAAACAGGGGTGGTGTTGATACCACGCCCATGGACTAGTGTGAGATTTAAATGTGGCAGGTGGTGAATGCTCTTTGGTGATCATGACTTTTCCTTTCTCCTGGTAGTGCTGCCTCCTCCCTCTGAGCACCTGGAGTCAATCCACCTTGGGTAGGTCAGAGAAGGTAGAAGGAAGTGGTAGGAGGTGAACTTGAGGGAATGATGCACAGGGGGATAGGGTGAGTGAGAGGTCTGGGATCTGTTGGCAGGAGCAGAATGGTAGGAAAGGGGAGAACATGACATTGATCTTGAATCTTGACATTTATGCCCAGCCTATGCTGTGTTGAGCCTCAGGTCACCGTTTGAGGAGGTGAGCAGAAAACTGCTAACAGATGAAGACTTGTCCAGTCTTCCAGGATAACTTTCATCAGTGGGTTAGTTGTCTTGTTCAGAAGGTGATCACGGAGCTTTGGCCAAGCATAAACACTGATTATGGCAGTCTGATTGTCATAATCCTTTTGATTCTTAGATATCCCATTCAAGATTGTATTGTCAATGCCTCCGCAACCTAAAACCACCAGGAACACACTGTAATTGAAAAAGATGGGTTTGTTGCTGTCTGCAAGAAGGGAGGACACTCAGCATAGGGACCCATGAGGGTAGGACAGGTTTTATCTGATGACATTAGAAGGGCTTACTGAGGATTTGGGCTTGTTTTAGGAGATGTGGGGGAAAGGTTCAAGGAGGCTGGCTTTTCCTGGATGCTGCTAGGAAGTAGGGGGATGGTGGTAAGTCTGCGGTAGGATGTTTAAATAAATTTCCTCTACTGGGCTGCAAGAATGAGAAGGCTGAAGCTGTAATAAGTAAAGAAGCGGCAGTCACTCCTATCAGCTGTGATAAAAGGATGTTTGGCTGTTACTTTGTGGTTTGGATGCCGTTTTTGCTTGTGTTCACATCATGGCCTATCGTGGTGACAGACCACGTACGCAGTGGCCTTGTCTGATGCTAGTGTCCCACGGAGTTGATTATGCTCAGGTGGAGAACACTAACGCCCAGCTGTGGGGACCAGGCCAGCTCCTGAGTGTCGGGGGGCTGCACTGCTTTGTCATTACCAACATCTCCACAAACAATACAACCCGTGCATGTGAGGTCCCAGAAGGAAGGAGCTAAAACAGCTAGACTGGGATCACTTTACTCAATTTGAGGAGAGAGAGAGAACTCGAGGGAACCAGAGGAAGGCAGGTGAGCTGGTCTAATCTCCTTTTCTATTGGAGCTCTAGGCAGATAGACTGAAAATATTTGCTAAAACAAAGAGATCCATCTCTAGAATACCCTTAGCAGGATGTCCTTGATTAAAGGATTATTTCTGAAAACTAAATTCAGAATCCGTGAGGCATGATTCCCTGGAAGATCACGTAAACTGTACAATTCTCTCTGAAATAAATTGGAGACTTCATCCCTTAGATCCCTTTGACTGTGTGAGGACCCCACAAAACCTCACTTAGTGGCCATATTCATTCTTCTGGGCCTGAAAGCATGTGTCCCATGCAGGAAGGAAGGCAGGACCAGCGGGGCTTTGCAGGTCGTGCCATTCTCTCATTCTCTCTTTGCTTCGTTTAAGCCTCTTCATTACCTGTCTCCCTGACGTTATTCGTACTGTGATTCTGGGTATGTTCTGTGATTCTTGTGTGATTTGGTATCCAATTTTGCTTAAGGATGCAAGGAAGTGTTTGGGGAGAAAGCTGTGTTGGAAGAGGTCTGTAGTCCTAGCCTCCCACTCCACTCCACATTTCACATCATTAGACTTCAGTACATGGGTCTGGGGCACCAACATTGTCTTACCTGGTTACACAGTGTGGTCTTTATCTGGATGAGGGATGCGAAAGGATACATCATGGCCAAGAGACCTGGGAGAGGCACAGAAATAACAGGTGACCACCAAGGGTGCTTGGACCTGAGATGTTCCCATTTCCTAAGACCTTACCTCCAAGATTCTCCAACATTTGGTATAGTTGCCCAGGCAATTTAACAAGAAAATCAAAGTTTTGTCATGACCCCCATTGTAATATATGCTTATCACAGAAAAATTGAGAATATAAGAAGGAGAATAGAAGATCACAAAACAACTCTATACTACTGTCCAGCGATAGCTATTCTTAAAACATGGATTGATCAGTGTGGGGTGATTTCTCCAAGTTTTTTTGTTTTGGACAGAAAATCATTGACGATGCCCTGGTTTTAAGGTATTAGGATGAAGGAATTATAGTTGAACAGTTCAAAATGATGTTATGAATTACTTTCAGATTTGTTTGCTTGATTGCATTAGCCTTGTCTGGGCTTTCTGGTAACTATTTGGTTCCATCATGGTGGCTGGGTCAGGTGGCTCTGGAAAAACAGCTATTTAAAAAAGCTTTTCTTTCTCTAAAAATATTGTAGAGGGCTCCTGTCTGTTCTTGGAAGCAGTGTTTGGGATGGCCTCTTGGGAGGCTGTCTGATGAAGTGTCTAAGAGTATGTGGTCTGGACTTGGACAGTACAAGATGCAAATTCTGGCTGGGATATTCTAGTTGTGGAGTGTTGGGCAAGTTATTTGGTCTTCTGAGTTTATAGGTAAACTGGAGATAATAGGTTTGTGTGAATGAGGACTCAATGAGATGCCTGTAAGACGCTTAGCCAGATGGCTACGTGAAGAAAGCACTTGGTAAATGTTAATTGTTGTGATTGTTAAAATTGTTACAATGATTAGTCATTGCTGATTGTTGGCTAACTGGTTGTAAGAAATGGAAGTAAAGTAAGGCAGTAGCAGCAGAGGGAGGTGGTGGAGGGAATCAGGAGACACTTGCGGGTTCTGGTTCTGCCTAAGTGCTGGGGAAAACTCAGTTGAAAAACTAGTTGTCTAACATTTAACAGCTGTGTGACCTCGGGCTAGTCACATTTCCTTTGTAAACTTCCTTTTCCTCATTTGCGAAATGAAAGGGTTTTATCAGGTTACTTGTCATCACCACTAGTTGACCATTAGAATCATCTGGAGATCTCTTTAGAAATTCTTAGTTTTGGGGTCTTCCACTTTCCCCATTCTGACTTGGTGGGTCTGAAAGCAGGCACTGCATCTTTTCCAAAGCTCTTCAGGTGAACTTGAAGTGTGGCCAGGGATGAGAACCTCTGACTTTCAACAGCACTTCTGGTTTAGGAAGAAGTGAATCACAGGCACAGAATGAGCTCTCAGGAACGGCTGCTGAGCTAACAATTGCCACGACACTGTCTCCCCGTCCCAACTGCAGGTATTCCTAGACCTCTCCTGATGAAGGTTTCCAATTTTGGAACAGAAGAATCTTTGAAGAAAAATATTATTGAACTTCCAGAAATGACTCAGTCCTTCTCTGCTGCTTCTTTAGTCAGAAAGATCTGCCCCCATCCCTGTCTACTG